CTTTGGGCCTTCCTTTATTCAAATTCTGGAGAGAGGGAATCTGATGGACTCAGTTTTCCTCTGGCTCCAGATGCCCTCCCTCTAGGGTGCCAGTGTCTGGATGCAGTGGTCTGGAGTCAAGTGGACCTTCAGGGCTAATCCTTATCCACTTTGCATGATGGCAGGCCTGCTGCTTCCCTGAAAAGACTCTTGGGCCTGGTGGGCGGCCCACTGCTTGGCCCGGGCAGCACACGGGGGTGCTGTAGCTTGCAGGAAAGACCAAGGAGGCAACATGGCTGGGCAAAGGTGGGGCAAGACCGTGGTGGTCCAGCAGGGACCGTTAAAATTGGAACAATTAAGTGCTCAACAAGCATTATGATGGAAAATTCTCAGGGGTGTCGGGGGCAGGACTGGGGAGGAGGGAGGTGCACTGTGCGTGCCGCAAGGCTGGTGCCCATGGTGAACTTGACTTATTCACCACCTCCACCAAGGCCATGATACAAGAATCAAATGCTGCCAGTGCTACTACTTCTAGCCAACACTTAGTCCATGCCAGATGTGATTCTAAGTGCCTTCCATTTATTAACTCATTTAATCCTTTCAGTGCCCCCTGAAGTAAGTACCAGTCTCATTTTATCTATGAAGACATGGAGGCTTAGAGAGATTATGTAAAGACAAGGTCACATAGCTAGTACCTGGAGAAGCTGAGATTCAAACCCAGGAAGCATGTGCTCTTCTTCTTTTTTTTTTTTTTTTTTTTTTTTTTTTTTTTTTGAGGCAGGTTCTCCCTCTGTTACCCAGGTTGGAGTGCAGTAACGCAATTATGGCTACTGCAGCCTCGACCTCCTGGGCTCAGGTGATCCTTCCACCTCAGCCTCCCGAGTAGCTGGGACTGCAGGCACACACCACCACGTCTGGCTAATTTTTAAATATTTTTTTGTAGAGATGGAGTTTCACCATGTCACCCAGGCAGGTCTTGAACTCCTGGCCTCAAGCAATCCACCTAGCTTGGCCTCCCAAAGTGCTGGAATGACAGGCCTGAGCCACTACACCCGGCCGACTTGCACTCTTAATTGCCTTGCTATACTACCCCGCTGATAGAAGCAGGTGGCCATCTCCACCAAGCTGTTTGAGGAGTGACATGCAGTCTTAACAGCCTCAGAATTTCTCCCCTCAGCTCTGTCATGCTTGTCACCTAGGGTTCAGAAATTCCTGCTCTCAGTCACTAGTACAGTGGAAGATAGGGTGACCTCTGGAGAGCTCTTTGCCCTCTCCCATTAGACTCTGAGTCCTAAGCTGCTACAAAATGAGCAGGGTGCATGTTCTCTTAGGAGGAAGGGAATTATCGAAGGTTGGGGGTTGAAGGAAGTAACAGGTAATCTGGAGCTAACCTCGTATTGAGGCAGAGAAAGAAGCCAATAATACTTAGCTTGATTTGAGAAGTCTCGGGGAAGAAACTCACCACCCCAATATCTATCATTCCACCATTGTAGTTTGAGAGCAGCACTGACCCATGTAATTTTCTGTGGTGATGAAAATATTCCATATCTATACTGTCCAGTTCAGCAGCCACCAGCCACACGTGGCTAGAGAGCACTTGAAATTTGGCTGGTGTAATTGAAGAACTAAACTTCAAATTTTAATGAATCCAATTTTATTTTATTTATTTATTTATTTTTTGAGACAGAGTTTCATTATTGTTAGCCAGGCTGGAGTGCAGTGGCATGATCTCCGCTCACCGCAACCCCCATCTCCCAGGTTCAAGTGATTCTCCTGCCTTAGCCTCCCAAGTAGCTGGGATTACAGGCATGTGCCACCACACCTGGCTAATTTTGTATTTTTAGTAGAGACAGGATTTCTCCATGTTCAGGCTGGTCTTGAACTCCCAACCTCAGATGATCCGCCCGCCTCGGCCTCCCAAAGTGCTGGGATTACATGCGTGAGCCACCGTTCCCAGCCTTATTTTATTTTATTTTTGCAATGGAATGTCGCTCTGTCGCCCAGGCTGGAGTGCAGTGGTGCGATTTCGGCTCACTGCAACTTCCACCTCCCAGATTCAAGGGATTCTCCTGCCTCAGCCTCCTGAGTAGCTGGGATTACAGGGATGTATCACCACACCCAGCTAAGCTTTTTGTATTTTTAGTAGAGATGAGGTTTCACCTATGTTGGTCAGGCTGGACTCAAACTCCTGACCTCAAATGATTCGTCTGCCTCAGCCTCCCAAAGTGCTGGTATTACAGGCGTGAGCCACTGTATACGGCCATGAATCCAATTTTAAATGAAAATTGCCACATATGACTAGTGGCAATTATAATGGACAAGGCAGTTCTTGAGGCCTCCTTTAGAATATACATCCCACTGGGAAGATCATACCTTTAGCAATTATCTGCCAAAACCTCAGTTCAGGTAGTGCGAGCTAGGGACAAAGCTGCCAGGCAGGCGCCTTTCATCTGGCCAGCATCAGGGCCGAGGATCTCTAAGTCTGAGTGCCCTCAGGCAGGGGAGGTGCTGTCCAGTCTCCATACCCCCTTGTTTTACTCCAGAGCTGAGTCACACATTTTGTCACCTCTGAAGGCAATCCCTTAGTAAAGCCCTTCAATCGTTCTCAACTGTGTTTCATTCACTCCTTACAGCAGCCCTGAGATGGAGATGGGATTGAAATTGTATCCATTTTATGGGTAAGAAAATGCAGGTTCTCAGAAGCCCCCAGGAAGGGCTGTTCTCCAAAGCCAGGCCTACCTTTCCTGTCTCATTTGAATAGACATTGGAAGCCAAGGACTTGCATCTGGGGCCTCCTCTCTGGGGAGCCTTGTTTTGCCCTGGCCATCAGCTCCTGCTGCCTTCAGAGCGCCTTTCCCCCGTGCTCCATTCTTCTTTTCATTCAACCATCATCTTGATTCTTTTATTTATTTATTTTTTTTTGAGACAGAGTCTCGCTCTGTCGCCCAGGCTGGAGTGCAGTAGTGAGATCTCAGCTCACTGCAACTTCCACCTCCTGGGTTCAAGCAATTCTCCTGCTTCAGCCTCCCAAGTAGCTGAGATTACAAGAATGAGCTAATTTTTGTATTTTTAGTAGAGACGGCGTTTCACCATGTTGACCAGATTGGTCTCCAACTCCTAAGCTCAAGTGATCCGCCCACCTCGGCCTCCCAAAGTGCTAGGACAGGCGTGAGCCATCACACCCGGCCTTGATTCACTTTTACCGGCCTTGATTCACTTTTAATGCAACCCAGCTCCTGTCCCATGGCTTACTTCATACAGCGCATCCACTTGCCCATGCGCCTGCCCGCCCGCCCGCCTGCCTGCCTACCTGCCTGCCTGCCTAGGTTTCCAGCCTTCTGTGGTGCTGCCAAAGTTGAACCATCAGCAGATTTAACTGGGTGAATTGGGAGGGAAAATAATCCTCCAACTCTATCACCAGCCCATCCCTGCACCCCAGCCTCCACTCCACATCAAACCTGATTCTACCAGCATCCCAGTTTTCCTTTGACTTCATGCTGCTTTTCTACCAGCTTCTGGAGTTTAACACCTGCTTGACTCATGCCCCCTTCCTGAATGACTGCCTCTGCCCCTTCAACCACCCAGCAGGGCCCACACTCACCTTTCCTGTTTCCCTGACCAGGGCAGTCCACACTGAACTCCGTCTGCCTCTCTGACTTCCCCGTCACTTACTCCCCCCTTTTTTGACTTAGTGTTTACACTACTTTTTGACAGAGTAGTTGAGGAAAGAATCCTGCCTGCAATTAGGAGGTGCAGGTTGTGTGAACTTGGGTGAGTAATAATTTGGCCTACTGGATTCTCCATTTCCAAATTTTGGGGATTTTCAGGGATTGGACCGGATCCATAATTTTTCAAACCAGTTTTTCCAGGAAGGTTCTCCAGAGGTTGTTTTGATGGGTAGAGAGTGGTGGGGAGGGGAGCCAAGTCAATAGGAGCTTTAGGTTTCCCCTATTCCTTTCCACTAGTGAGCCAATTCTGAGTGGACAAATGGACTAGGCTTCTAAATGCTACTGAAAGAAGAAGAAGAGGAGAGAAAGGAAGAAAGTGATTGAAAGCCCCAGACTGCTGGGCCTGGTGGCTCATACCCACCTATTATCCCAGCACTTTGGGAAGCCAAAACAGGAGGATTGCTTGAGCCGAGGAGTTCAAGGCCAGCCTGGGCAACACAGTGAGACCCCATCTCTACAGAAAAATTAAAAATTAGCTGAGCATGGTGGCACAAGCCTGTCATCCTAGCTACTTGGGAGGCTGAGGTGGGAGGATTGCTTGAGGCTGTGAGGTCAAAGCTGCAGTGAGCAGTGATCGTGCCGCTGTATTTCAGTCTGCATGACAGAACAAGACCCTGTCTCAAAAAAAAAAAAAAAGAAAAGAAAAGAAAAAAGAAAACCCCAGATTATTCATAATTAGATGATCCAAAAAGACTCTTGCAGCTCTAATGTGGCAGAGTCCAAGTCTTTTTCCCCCAGGTGGGCTATAGGCATCTTGAGGGCAGGACCCACACCTCAGACAGGGTTGCGTGCAGACTATACAATGGGAGCCCAATGCCTGTGGAATGAAAAAAGGACCGATGAACCCTCTCTTGTTCTCATCTGTGATGTTCCAGTATATCTCCCCTCACCAGCCAGACTGACAGGCCTGGTTCTTGCGCTTTTTGGGGTTTCGCCAGAGCTCCTGGCACAGAGCCTGCAGTCTGTCCACAAACTCTAATTAGGTGACCTGGTCAGGTGGGGGTGAAGGAAGGACCTCTGGAAGACACAGTCTGTGAACTATAAAGCAGTGACTTTAAAGTACAATAAAACAGGCTGGGCGTGGTGGCTCATGCCTATAATCCCAGCACTTTGGGAGGCTGAGGTGGGCGGATCACATGGGGTCAGGAGTTTGAGACCAGCCTGACCAACATGGAGAAACCCCGTCTCTACTAAAAATACAAAATTAGCTGGACATGGTGGCGCATGCCTGTAATCCCAGCTACTTGGGAGGCTGAGGCAGGAGAATCGCAGCCCTGGGTGTGAGTCCTGCCTCCTTTACCACTTTCACCATCTCCAACAAGTGCCTTAAGTCCCTCTGAACCTCAGGTTTCTCAGCTAGATAATAATGCTTATGGTTTGCTTAGTATTTTGAAGAGAGACTTTCTATCTAGACCCCTAGACTGGGTGGGTTGGGTCATAAGGAATTCCCCTCTTGCCCTGAAACCTTGCACTCTCCCTGATATGGGAGGCTGAGAAATACGTTAATTGCTTCTTCATAGTCCGCTAGGCCCAAGATGAAACCACAACTGAAAGATTCATGGTTGAGACGTGAGAAGCAATCACTTGCTAATAAAACCCACACAGTAAGATGAGCCTTATAAAAACCACCGCAGAGTGACAGAGGCCAGAAGAGCTGCTTGGGAAGGGAGGGGACAGGACAGGGTGTTTCACTGAGGGAAGCCATGGGCCAGCCTGCTGGGACCAGCTCAAAGGACACAGAAGAAAGCCATGGGGTTGCTGTGGCCTCAGAGATGGCATTTCATCTCCCAGGACCTGTGTCTACAGATTGTGGCTGGTGGGCCAGGCACAGGCCCTTCCTGGGGGATAAAACAATGAGGTCAGAGGGGTTTCCCCCAGCATCACACCTCTCCTTTCAGTGATCTCTCCCCTCCTTCCCATCTTCTTCAGATGCCCAAAGCCTCTGGAACAAGAAAGAAGGAGAATGTCAGGGACTAGCAAGGAGTTCATTGGAGCACCTCTCCCACCCACCTCCAGGACCTCTCTCAGAGGGGGCCGCATCTCCAGGGGATTCTGGAGAGAGGAATTCCCAAGCCAGAGGCTGTGTGGGACCCACAGATGCGTGTGGGGTTGGTCATGGTAACTTCAACAGAATTTTGTGAAAATATAGTTTAATTGATGGGATTTTTAAAAGCCAGATTTTAATTACAATGTAGATTTCTGGCTTCTTTTGGAAAATGGAAGAACCAAAAGGGCTTGTCTCACATTCTCACTGGGTATGAATTGGAGGAGGTGAGCAGCTGCTGCCCTCCATAAAGGAGGCATTTTATTTATTTATTTATTTATTTATTTATTTATTTATTTATTGAGACGGAGCCTCACTCTGTCGCAGGCTGGAGTGCAATGGCGCGATCTCAGCTCACTGCAACCTCTGCTTCCCAGGTTCAAGCGATTCTCCTGCCTCAGCCTCCCGAGTAGCTGGGATTACAGGCGCACGCCACCAGGCTTGGCTAATTTTTGTGTTTTTAGTAGAGACGGGGTTTCACCATGTTGGCCAGGCTGGTCACTCCTGACCTCAGGTGATCTGCCCGCCTCGGCCTCCCAAAGTGCTGGGATTACAGGCATGCGCCACCGCACCCGACCTGAGGAAACATTTATTAATACTTCCCAGTTTGCTGCAGTTCCTGCCTCTTCCAATTGTTCCCTGTCATTATCTGGCCCCTTTCTCCCATTTGTGCCACTGCCTGGCTCCTGCAGCTTCTGAGCTTGTGGCCTTAGACTTTATTCAAAGAAATTACTTATTAGGAGGAGGAGCACAGAGACACATGAATATTTCTGGGCAGAGGAATATCTCCTTGCTCCTAATACCATTGCATTCTGGAGGCCGCCCCTCCTAAAGAAGCGAATCCTACCACACAGCTTCACAGATTGAGGTGCGCACCAAACTGCCAAAGGATTGGGAAGAAAGTTTGCATCGATCTGCGCAGCTCCCTGCCCCCACAGCCTGCCTCCTCTGGCACCAACAGCTGCCTGTTTGTCACCACCAGCGAGTCGAGGCTCTGATCCCTCACCTCTCTGTGACCCAGGCTGGAGTCAGCTTTGTGCCTGGACCAGTCTGACCTTGCAGTTTGTTTTGTTACCAGGGCCTTTTGCTTTGTGCCTACAGACTGCCTTGTTTGGGGTAGCCCTTCGCCTGAATGCCTGCCTTGGTTCCTACCAGTCCTCAAAGCTCTAGGAACAAATTGAATTCTGCCCTGCCCCTCCCATGCAAAGTCTCTGCAGCTGAGCCTCATCCCCCGAATGCCAGTTGCTTCTGCTGGACTCTTTGAGCTGCAGGGCTTCCTTGATCCACTTCTGCCTATCCTGGAGGATGACCTGCTCTGATCCCCTAGGACCTAGTGACCCGCAGTATGCCTCACCTATTGCCTGCCTGGCCTGTGCAGGATGATGCCAGCAGAAGCAAAACTTGTTTGGAGAGTAGGAGTTAGGTGGGATTTTGACCCCCACTTACTCCCTCAGCCAGGCGTCTTTCTGCACAATGCACGATGACTCTGAGTAGGTTCTCCTGGGCCCTGAGCACCGGGCATCCCTGTGTGGCCTCATCTTCTCACTGACTCAACCTCATTTCTGATACTCACCTCCCAGTTTCCTATCATGTCCTCTTCTTCCTTGTCTGACTCCTAATCCTGGGGAAGCAAATGATTCATATAAATAATAATAATACTAATATTGAAATTCTGTTTGAGGCAGTGTACCAAGCATGACACATACATTATATATATAAAATATGTATTTTTTTTATATATATATATATATAAAAATTTTTTTTTTGACATGGAGTCTCGCTCTGTCGCCCAGGCTGGAGGCAACCTCTGCCTCTTGGGTTCAAGTGATTCTCCTGCCTCAGCCTCCTGAGTAGCTGGGATTACAGGCATGCACCACTATGCCCAGCTAATTTTTGTATATTTAGTAGAAATGGGGTTTCACCACGCTGGTCAGGCTAGTCCCGAACTCCTGACCTCGTGATCCACCTGCCTTGGCCTCCCAAAGTTCTGGGATTACAAGTGTGAGCCACCGCACCCAGCCCATTATTATATTTAATTTTTGCAACAACCAGGCAAGATAGGACTGTCATCCCCATTTTCCAGATAAAGAAACTGAGGTACAGAGCGATCAAGGAATTTTCCCAAGGTCCATCACTAATGAGTGACAAAACTAGGATTCAAACCCAGATCTATCTGTTGCTAAAGCTTAAACTTTTAACTACTCAGCTCTGTCTTCCAAACCAAAGAAAGCTAGAAAGGAGGCTCAGAGAAGCCAGTGATTTGTCTAGGGTCACACAGCTCATCGGTGACAGAGCTGGAATTCAAACCCAGGTGAGCTTCTGTCACCGAGCCCAAAGCTCTTTCACATGTTGAGATATTCTTGGGGCTCTTTGCCCCTTAGTTCCTGGCGGATGGGCACACAGGAGGTGTTTACTTGCCTCATTTTATTTGATATGCCTAGATTGAATCAGTTTCTTATAGACTCTCTCCCAATTGCTTTGATATCAGCCAGGATGCCCTTGTCCTTAGACATGTTAGGTATTAGCTCAACCCCTATTTTCCCAAACCTGAAGGGCCTCGATTTCCAGCATGGAATGCAGATTTCCTAGGGTAGCAGAGGATAATGAATAGGATTTGATGTCCTAACATCCGAGGATACATGAGTTTTTCAGAAGGTTTTCTGACAAGAGGGGCTGGCTGCTGGGAGGGGAAAACAGGAACTGAAGTGCTGGTGGAAGGTAGCTGGGGAGATGGCAGGAGACGGAACCTTCTGAGCAGGATATGCAGACAAATTTTATGCAGTGTGGCCAGGCATGTTGGCTCACACCTGTAATCCCAGCACTTTGGGGGCCGAGGTGCGTGGATCACCTGAGGTCAGGAGTTCGAGAGCAGCCTGGCCAACATGGCGAGATCTTGTCTCTACTAAAAACACAAAAATTAGCCGGGCATCGTGGCACACACCTGTAATCCCAGCTACTTGGGAGGCTGGGGCAGAAGAATCACTTGAACCCGGGAGGCAGAGGTTGCAGTGAGCTGAGATTGTGCCACTGTACTCCAGCCTAGGCAACAGAGCAAGACCCCGTCTCAAAAAAAAAAAAAAAAAAAAAAAAATTATGTAGTATGATTTTCTGGAGATCAGAGCTTGTTGATCCTACTTCCTTGATCCTACTTCTGGATCTCTGGGTCTGACCTTGTCTCTTGGGCTCTAGAGACCCCTGGCCTAGGCCCCTCTTCCTAGCTAGCGACACTAGCTCGCAACACTAGCTCATCTATTCCTGGAGTAGAGCTGGGGATGGGAGAGCCCTGGGATAGGGCGAGCAGAAATGCCACTTCCACACAGCAGGGCTTCACATATGTCTCCTTCAAGTGGTCCTAGCTCTGGCCACAGCCCCTGGGGATGGTCCTGCCAAGCAGCTTGGCTTGTTAGCAGCTATAATAGACAATAAACTGTGTGAGAGCCTTTAATAGCTTTGGATCCCCAGCCTGCCTGGTAGAAATAGGTTTCTCAGAGTCCTGTGCCAAACTGAGTTCCCAGCAGGCTGGTGGGGATACAGGACTTTCCAGAACTTTCACCCAATCCAATTTAAATGAGCAAGGATTTACTTAGCCTCTCTTGAGTGCCAGTACTGTTTTTGGATACCAGGATAGGAGACTCCTTGCTATCCTCCTATTCCAATCCTTTTTTGTATCCTGATAGCAGCTGAGTTTTCTCAAAGCCAGCAAGGTATTGTGCTTAGGGGCTTTGGAGTAAGACACACTTGGGTTCAAATTCCTCTGCTGCTGGCTAATTGCTTCACACATCACTGAGCTACAGTTTCTTCATCTGTAAACCATCAACTTCACAGGGCAGAATGTGAGCACTAAATGAGACTGTGTGTGAGCTTAGACAGTTTAAGACCCTTCTGGGTTCATCGCCTGGAAGGCTGTGATTTGTCAATAGCAACAATCAAACCAATAAGCAAATAAAACCAGAAAGCCTCCTCTGTCCCCATCAGAACATCCCTTTGCTCAGGCATCTCCCATACTTCCCTACTACTCATGCAACAAAATCTTGCCTTTTTTACTTAGTATTCAAGGCCTTCCACATAAAGCCACATTTCAAGGGCTCAATAGCCACATATGGTTTATGGTTACATTATTATTATTATTATTATTATTATTATTATTTTAAGACAGAGTCTCACTCTGTCGCCCAGGCTGGAGTGCAGTGGAGCTATCTTGGCTCATTGTAACGTCCATCTCCCGGGTTCAAGCGATTCTCCTACCTCAGCCTCCCAAGTAGTTGGGGTTACAGGCACCCGCCACCACACCTGTCTAATTTTTAGTATTTTTAGTAGAGAAGGGGTTTCACCATGTTGGCCAGGCTGGTCTTAAACTCCTGACCTCAGGTGATCCACCCATCTCGGCCTCCCAAAGTGCTGGGATTACAGGCATGAGCCACCATGCCCTGCCATGGTTACCATATTGTACAACGCAGAATAGCACATTCCCATCACTGCAGAAAGTCTATTGGACGGCTCTACTGTAGGTGATATTATAGCTCACTCACCTAAGCCCCTTTCTTTGGAGCAGGCTTCAATAGGAGTGTGGCATAAGGATGGTCAGCATGAGTGGGCACCATCAGGCCAAGGAAAGAAATCAACAGTGCTCAGGGAAATGAGGTCAGACCACAAGGGTAGCCATAACCACTCCCCACCACCACCCTAACACCACCACCAGAAAGTAACCCTTTATTCCTTTTTCCCATTTTGGCCTTGGCTTCCCTAGGGGTGGCCCTGGAGGATAAGGAGAGTAGGCGATAGTAGAAAGTAAAAGTAGGCACTTGGACTTGGTGGGCCTCCTTAATTTATTGCCTGTGAGCTTTCTGTCATCTGTTTAATTATACCTATGTCTCCAGTTGCTGAGACGAGTAAACACTTAATAGTTGGCCCCTGCCGCACACCTAGGGAGAGTTTATCAAATGATAGGCCCTTTCCCTACTTTTAAATAAGCCACATATGTAAAAACCTGTCTCTGTCAAAGGGGTGTGTATGTGTTTTGATACAGAAAAAAAGAATAAAAAGAATAAAAAAGTTAGCAGACTTCCTTACAAGAGCATGCTACCTTTATTTGTTTTTTTGTTTTGATTTGTTTTGTTTGAGATGGAGTCTTGCTCTTTGTTGCCCAGGCTGGAGTGCAGTGGCACGATCTCGGCTCACTGCAACCTCCACCTCCCATGTTCGAGCGATTCTTCTATCTCAGCCTCCCGAGTAGCTGGGACTACCAGTGCTCGCCACCATGCCCAGCGAATTTTTGTATTTTTAGTAGAGATAGGGTTTCACCATGTTGGCCAGGCTGGTCTCGAACTCCTGACCTCCTGATCCGCCCACCTCAGCCTCCCAAAGTGCTGGAATTACAGGCGTGAGCCACCGTGCCTGGCCGCATGTTATCTTTAAGAAGTATGCTGCTGCCCGGGCGCGGTGGCTCAAGCCTGTATTCCCAGCACTTTGGGAGGCCGAGGCGGGCGGATCACAAGGTCAGGAGATCGAGACCACGGTGAAACCCCGTCTCTACTAAAAATACAAAAAATAGCCGGGCGCGGTGGCGGGCGCCTGTAGTCCCAGCTACTCAGGAGGCTGAGGCAGGAGATGGGGGAACCGGGAGGCGGAGCTTGCAGTGAGCCGAGATCGCGCCACTGCACTCCAGCCTGGGCAACAGCGTGAGACTCCGTCTCAAAAAAAAAAAAAAAAAAAAAAAAGAAGTATGCTGCTACCAGGCACAGTGGCTCACGCCTGTAATTCCAACATTTTGGGAGGCAGAACTGGGAGGATCACTTGAGCCCAGGAGTTCAAGACCAGCCTGGGTAAGATGGCAGGACTCCTATTAAAAAAAACTTTAAAAATTAAAAAAAAGTACACTCCTGTTTCACTCCCAAAAAGTTGAGGAAAGATGGATAAATGGTTGATTATGAGTTCATAGTTTGTTTGTTTTTTTTAAGGATGAGGTCTTGGTATGTTACCTAGGCTGGACTTGAACTCCTGAGCTCAAGCAATCCTCCTGCCTCAGCCTCCCAAGTAGCTGGGACTACAGGTGCACACCACTCTATCTAGCAATTAGTTGAGAATTTTTGAAACTCAGCTATAGTAACATGAAGATTTACCATTTTAGTTTTACTGCAAATGCTTGAACTTTTTCTTAATTTCCTTAGAGCCCGTTTCCTTGGAGTCAGTTTCAATAGGAGTGTGGCATAAGGATGGTCAGCATGAGTGGGCACCATCAGGCCAAGGAAAGGGGTCAACAGTGCTCAGGGAACTGAGGTCAGACCACAAGGGTAGCCATCAACAACTTCCCCCATCCTAATACCACCACCAGTAAAAGAAAAAGATAAAGATGGATACAGCGGCTCACACCTGTAATCCCACCACTTTGGGAGGCTGAAGAGGGGAGGATTGCTTGGGCCCAGGAATTTGGGATCAGCCTGGGCAACATAGTGAGACCCCCATTTCCACAAAAAATTAAAAAGTTAGCTGGGTGTGGTGGTGTCTGCCTGTTGTCCCAGCTACTCAGGGGGCTGAGGTGGGAGGATTGCTTGAGCCTGGGAGTTTGAGGCTGCAGTGAGTCATGATCGCACCACTGCACTCCAGCCTGGATGACAGACCGAG